TGTACTTATGTAGGCGCGTGAGAAGTTATCCTTCTTTGGCATCGTTTAAAATTAGTTTTTAATTGCATGCAAATAATTAATTACAATAAATTAATAAAAAGCCTGGAAAAGGACACAGTCAATAAAGTTCAGTTTTAATTTGAAAAAATAAATAAATAATCAAAATATTCAATTAAAATCGCTACTGAATATAATTTATTAGAACATATGTGATTTGCACTTGTATGAAACTCAAACACGTATTCCGAATATACAAACTAGAAACATGTGGATAAATATTATAAATATGAATACCTATAACTGTTACTTTATTACAAAAAATAAAGATGTGGTTTTTGGTTCTACTACACCAATGGTCAAGAGATGGCGCTGTAGTCTCCTGAATCGCGCTTTGGTTCCGTTGTTCCAGATTAATAAATACTTTTGATATTATAAATATGAATACCTATAACTGTTACTTTATTACAAACTAGCGGTCGCTAAAGCGACCAACTTCATGCTGTTAAAATTTTATGTTACAGTGATGCGCGCGCATCTTAAAATTTCACTCTCATCATTTTTTCATAACGCGCCTAAAGAAGTATAACTTCAACAATTTAAAAATTGCATTTTTAACATCTATACTTAAAATAAAATGGTAGGAAAGTCAAAACCGTACATTGAATATTTTTTAAATGAAGACTTGGGGTGTGATCTACAATCGATACCGAAGCCAAAAATATAGTTATTAGAATTTTTGTCTGTTTGTCTGTATGTATGTCCGGGGTAAACTCAAAAAGTACTGCATGGATTTACTTAAAATTTGGCACGAATATTATTAAGAAGTCCGGTCAACATTATAGGCTTCATATTATCACGCTATCAACTACGGGGAACGAGCAGTGAACCACTATTTCTAACTAACCCCATGCGTACAAAGTCGCGGGCGGCCGCTAGTTTCTTAATACAGTGTGAGCAAGATCTTTAAGCACGTGAGTGACAGTTAACGGAGGATGCCACTGTCTATGTAATTATGTATTGTAATGACATACAAAATATTATGATGTTTACAAAGACGGCGGAGCAAGAAACATAAATAGGGATGATGACAATTTTTTTTTTTCTTCGTTTATCAGGTAGATTATCAAGAAGTATTGGACACGTATTTTTTCTTTTTTCACACAATATAAACATTGCAGAGATATATTGATTTGAAAAGTCGCATGACGTTACGTTTGAGTACACTTTTAAGTGAAAATTCACTAAAAAGTGACGTCACAAGCCCCTACTCCCAAACTTTGACGCGCTATAACTTTGTCATTTTTTGGTTGATTACCCAAAGAAAAAATACGTGTCCATTATTTTTTAATCATCTAACTGTCACGGACTAAATAGAATTTCTTTTACTGTACCCTGTCATCACCCCTATTCTATCTATAAATTCCTTGCGGCGGCGTTAGTTCCAATTTTCGCCACTTTCATAGAGATCTTAGTCGGACTCAGAGATGTGACTTATCTGAGATAAAAGTATCTAAGATACAGATACAAGATAAGTTTATTTATCTTCAAATACTTTTTTGAAATTTATATCTGAAATTTTCTTTATTCAAAGCTTAGTTATTTATTAGTAAAATATATTTTTTAATAATTAACATGTTTTTTAATATTTATGTCAACAAAAGGTAGAACAATAATTACAAACTAAATATTTTATTGAGTTCGCCTGTGTGGGGCACAGTCCCCAGCAGACTGGCATTGCCTCGCTGTATCGCCAAACTAATTCGTTGAGCACAGTGTTGCCACCTTGGATTTTTTTAAGGCGCCAAGTCAAAGGTAAATAATCGCCAGATTTCAAAAATTTGGATTTAATAAAATACACCAAAATCCGCTAAATTACAATTACATCTCTGATAACAAAAAACCCTAATTTAAATAAAAAACCAGTGAATATGTATGAGATGCTACAGAAATAACTGTGAGTAACCATATAGAACATTATGAAATTTCGGAAAGTTAGGGCATTTCCCCTTAAAAATATGTTGCTAGATTTCATGTTAAAAAACCACTACAAAACACTAAAAAAAAAATTACCCGCCAGATAATGAACCACTAGAAGCCGTGAAGAAGCACCAGTTCTGGTGGAAAAACCACCAAGGTGGCAACACTGGTTGAGCAAAAAAGCTACCAGATCTTGGGTCCCCCGTAGCCTCGCACAGGCGAGCAGTCATATCCTAAAGAAATACTTTTGCAACAGGGCCCCAAGGACCCATTGTCTCTACAGCAGCTTTTGTATCTTGTATTTAAATACTTTTTTTCAATATCTTCTTATTTTGAAGATACTTTTTTTACTAAGATACTTTTTCTTTTCTAATTTAATTTTCAAACATCGATTTTAAAACGCATGCATTTTTGTAAATTAGCGCGTTGCTATTCTAAACATAAGTGCATTAGTTTTCTATCAACTTTATTTACCGTGAAAAAAAAATCTTAAGTTCATATGGTTGCCGTCTCGTTCACCTTAATGTTATGGGTTAGGTTAGGTTAGGTTAGGTGGTAGTGAACAAAAATACTTATCATCCCGTAAGGTACGTTTTTTTTGTTAGCGTTCACAAGAGGAAGAAGAGTCGTTTGAAATTTGTATCAATTTTCTTTGGTCTGTTTTGTAATGGAGTGAAATGAAGATAATCAGGTTATTTTTACAAATAATTAGAGAAAGAGAGACAGGAGCTTATTAATGATATCATCTCTTGAACATGACCATTCGTAAACACTGACATATTATTAATAATCGCGGTCACCCATCCCAAACTAGGGATGTTCCGATACTAGTAAATACGAGTAGATACTCGATACTTTTGATTCGATACCAAGTAGTTATAGCATCGAATCAATCTTGCGATAAATACTCGGTATCGAAACAAAAGTACTTGGTATCAAATCGAATCAGCATCACCATTTAAAAAAGATAAAATTTCCGAACGCAGACAGTATGAGAGAGCAAAAGCCCTTTCGCTCGGTTACCGGTATTCATCGCACATAGGCACCACCAAAATCAATAAAATTTTACCAAAACAAACGAAACAATTGCAAAATGTAAACAATGAAGTCTGTGAATTCTGTGTGAACTTTGGATAAAGGCAAATTAGAGAAAAAGCAAATAAAGGGACCAATGAAAGGTAGGATCCTATACTTTTCTTTTTTGCGACTGCTCTCCTTAAATATTAAATAATCCCTTTGAATTCCTAAAATGTTAAAAAAAAGTGACGCAAAACATTTATATTCTCGTTTTTTCTCACTTTTGTTTTAATTTTCGTTCTTCAACGTTTATTGTTTTTACTATAGTTTCCTCAAAGTAAAAAATAAATAAAAATAAGTGCTAAAAGTATCGATATCATTAAGTATCGATACTTTAGGAGTATTTATTTAAGTAGTATCGAAAAAAGATTTGAGTACTATCGAAATGAGTAGGTATCGATACCTTGATGGTATCGGAACATCCCTATCCCAAACCCAACCAATGGTAAACAACCTGCATATTATTTATAATCGCGTTCGCCCATCCCAAACCCCACCAATCGTAAACAACCTGCATATTATTAATAATCGCGGTCACCCATCCTAAACCCAACTAATCGTAAACAACCTGCATATTATTAATAATCGCGGTCACCCATCCCAAACCCAACCAATCATAAACAACTTGCATATTATTAATAATCGCGGTCACCCATCCTAAACCAAATCAATTGTAAAGAACCTGCATATTCATAATCATGGTCACCCATCCAAAACCTGACCAATCATAAACACTACACAATCAGAATATCGAAAAAAAAATACACCGAAACTATCTTTAGCCAAGTCTATTAGGTTCGTGGCCTAATGGTTTTGTTATCAAAAAACAGGCACTGGCTATATAGCTAACATGTTTTGATTCAAAAAGTATCTTTATCTTAAAAAAAGTACTTTGAAAATACGTATCTTGTATCTGGTATTTCAAATACTTTTTCCAAAGGTTATACGTCCATGCCAAAGGTATCTTGTATCTGTCATCTAAATACTTGACTACCAGGTATCTTGTATTTTAGATACTTTTTTTAATGTACTTTTTACATCTCTGGTCGCACTCATCTTTATAATCTATAGTAATGCTTATTTAATAACCTCAACATTATGAACGGCTTGGAAGGTTAAAAAAATAAAGTAAAAAGCGAATATTCATTATTATCAGCGTACCATTTTATCAAAACATCACAAACAAAGCGCCATCTTTTGTGCTCTGCATAAACTGAAACCTTACTTAACAGCGCTATCTACTGCTAATTATATAACCAAAATACTCAAAAGAAAGTTTGTTGCGAGTATTTCAAACGAATCGTTAGATGGCGTTGTTACATCTTGTAGTAGTGCAAAAAGTTGTCCCTAGATGGCAATGAAATTATGTTGTAGCAATGCCACAAATTGTCGTTAGATGGCGCTTCAATATTTATTTGTTGCTTTCATGCTGCTGACTAAGCCATGGGATATAGCCTGGGAATACAGGAAAAACCATCATGTAGGTGCCAAGGATTCGTAAAATATAAATAAAGACTTACATAACATGAATCTATTTTATTTACAAACCCAAAAAATTGGTACTGTATTGTATAAGCGCTATCTGTTGACAGGAAGAGTAAGTTCATTGTGTGTACGGCATGAAGATGTCCTTAATTTTAATATTTTCCGATTAATATCTACAACTCGCACATTGCATGACACATTGTATCCCAAAAAGAATTTCTTTTCAGCTGAGGCCATTTAGCTAGTCATTATTGTAAGTCCATGGCTGTGATCGAGTTGAAGCATAATGGCAGAACTACACTTTAAATCTGTCATTTTGTGGTGTGATGGTGACGCATCAGAGAGCTATCTGTTTCATACATTTAGTATGGTTATTGTAATAAGTCCATGGTGGTAGATCTTTAGCAGTTCCGATTACAGTTTTTTTACATGGTTTTTACCGTAACTACGGTTTCCGTGTCTGTGAATGTCGGACAAATGTCAAACAAAACTTCAGTCCAACGAAACGTCCATGACGGTCCAAATTGGTCCAAATGAGGGACGAATCGAACCCTCTCGTCGCAACCAACCCAACGAAACCATGTCCCAAACAGAATGGAACAATAACTAAAACGCCTGGAATTGGAACTCATAAGATTTGATTATGGCATAAAATTATGAGAACAACCCTCAAAAAGAATGAAACAAATTGCAAATATAAACGAACGTAAGTTTCATGCCATACCCTTTACATTACAGAACAAAAGTTTTTGTTTTAAGATCTGAGGTATACGTCCATGCCAAAAAATATATACTTAAACAAAATGTCTTAACGTAGTAGATACATTTTCCGCAGCATAACCAATGCAAATTCCTGCCAAAAATGTGGATGGCTGGATGTCTTGCCCTAAAACAATAATAGAACATCCAGGTTTAGCCTACCTGTGTTATTTAAACGAAATTATTGTAACGAAAAAACTTGACGCCTTGCATAAAATTATAGGCAAAGCTGACGTTTGTTACACAATTTACAATAACGAAGACCAAAAAGTTTTTGTAGGCGTTAAAAGGACAGGTTGCAAAAGTTTTGCTGTAAAATTTTTCAATAATTATGGTAACGAGGTTATTGTAATTAAAAAACCCTTTGCATTTTTTGCCAATAGAGCTCAAGTATGGGCACCACCAGGTAATTACGTGGGCTGCGTTGAGAAGAAGTTTGCTACCAACACATTTTTGGTGAAGAACAGAAATGGTGATAAGGTTTTGAATGTAAAAAGTCAGTCATCCTGCTGTAGTGATTATGATGTCCTGCAGAACGATGAGCTTGTTGGTCACATAAAAAGGTGGACAGTAAATTCTATGCCTATTACGAGTACTGATTTTGCAGTGTCTTTTCCAGCACAGATGGATATAAACAATAAAGTAATATTGCTGGGTGCCTGCTTTTTAATCCGTTATTCAAAATACTGAGAAGATACTGTACTTTACCTTGCCTGTATTTTTAAATCTATATCCATTCTTAAATATAGTAGAAATTAATTATTAAATAAAAGACTATATATACATCACTTGAAATATTTTATTTTTTAGAGTGGACGCCTGGACAGTGATGAGAAAACAGAGTAACGAGAATACTACTGTCACAAAATACCAATCCTCGTTTCTATTTTATGCTATTGTTCATCAAAATGGGTTTATCCATCTAGTTATACTGATAATTAAACAATATAACAGAATGGACAAAAAACCCTTTTTGTTTTTGTCCGTTTTGTTATATTGTTTAACTAATATGTAGTAAGTTGAACTAGATGGTCAAAACCATTTTAACTATTATAAAAAAATGTTTTGTTGGATAAAGATGCTAAAGATTCTTATTTTTCGTATCACAGCAATTACATTTTTTAGAATGTCACGGTGAATGGGGCATATTATTATAACACTGTCGTAATTTCACTGTATCGACGAGTGTAATATCCCGTATCGCAGTATCACCGATACGGTACAACTTGCGATACTGTGATCCTAATAATATCACGATAATATTGATCAGTGTAAGATATCCCATTTGACTCTGTGCGCTTTTTCTAATGAAGGATCAGTTCAAACAATCCAACAGCCATGACAGGTCACAGGTCACAGTCAAGTTTCATCGTGTAATCGTAATAAAATATAATATTGCGATACCCAGTAACTCAACCCACTTTTTACCAATACAGAATTGAAAATGTATTTCCGGATGTGAATGACAAGAATTTATATTGCCAAAATAAATTAATCTTTTATTTAGTTCCAATTTTCGCCACATGCAAGAGAGGTATTTTCCTTACTACCATTTTCGTACACTTTTCAATCGCATATGTTATGTAAAATGAAAAAAATGCATTTCTTATAGTCACTTAATTCATTATTCATCATCAACAATATTTTACATATTTTTATACAAAGATCTATCTTTGTTTTCTTTAATAACAGTGCCACTAGCGTGTAGTAGGAAAACTAGATTTGAGTGAGTTTTTTAGCTCTATGATTGTAGATTGTGATTGAGGGCTTATAATAATAATGGCTTATAATAAACATTATGGGCTAGCTTTTTTGTGTTTTCATGCTTGTATTGAATTGAACATAATATCCTATATAAAGATAAACCTTTTGTGAGAAATTATGTTATGGAATGGCCGTTACGTACTTTATGCTTATTGTAAAAATCGCATCAAAATCTCTTCAGTAGTTTAGGAAGCGATCGCGGTAAGCCATTTTCTTTCTTTAAATAGATGATAATGGTGATGATTATGATTAAAATAGATACAAAATTATGATGAATATAATGTTATTATTATTCGATACCATGTAAGTTACACACCTTTTTTTCTATTTCTTACATCAATATATCAGCAACAAGGATTAATAAGGAAATTACATGCGTGAACACTCAAATGAAACCATCAAATATGGAAATGGAATGAATACTTTTATTTTGTACTTATCAACAAATCAGTCTTAATAGTAGGGAAATAACATAAATTGGTTATATCCTAACTTATAATAATCTTTACGAAAGTGAACTTAAACTAATCAATTAACGCCTACTACGTTTCTTCTGGGGCGTTTTCGCTTCCTCTTCTACATCTCCATTTTGCTCTTCATCCTGAGCCTTCCTACGTACTGGTCCCGTATGCGTGATAGGTACAGCACGCTCGTCTTTCAATCCAGCTGTAGCTTTCGGCGCGACTACTGTCAAAACACCGTCGGAAGATAGCCGGGACTCGACAGTTTCCGGGTTGCAACCTTCAGGCAAAGCGTACCTGCGCTTAAACTGCCTCGAAATAAAACCGTGCTCGTCCTTTCTCTCCTCGTGCTTCCCTTCAACAACTACGTAACCGTCGGCCGTCTTCACCGAGATCTCCTCAGGGTCGAAGTGCTGCACGTCGATGTTAACTTGGAACTTGTCCTTGTCGCTCTTGATGGTCGACCCCACGTCTCTTGCCAACGCTAATAGATTCCGCCACGGCCGAACGTACTGGCGAAGTTGGATTTTCGGACGGTCGAAGACGTCAGTCAAAAGTTCGTCGGCCAAATCTAGTCCGAATAATTGATCGCGAACGCGACGTGGTCGCAACTCGTCAAACAAATACGGTATTAACGCCATTCTTCTTGTTATAGTTACTTTTATAGTTCACAGTAACTCAACCAAATACATAAAAGATTTCAGTTAAAAACTTTCCGAATCCGGAAAATCGCTCTCGAAGCAAAAGTTCACGTACAGTTTGTTTCCAAATGACTGCAACAGGCGACGCGACCGGCTTCGCTTATATATTTTACTCGCCTACGTCGAGAACAAACTAGTGAAATGGAGAACGTTCGTGAAAAAACACGACATCTGGTGACGAGTAGCTGAACTTTGTAAATTGGGGAAGCGAACTTGCCCCGTTCGTGCTTTTATCGCTCGCTCGCTACATAATAATTTTATTCTGAAATAAAATTGACAAAGGCCATTCCTTTTTTATAAAAATCTAGAAATCTGCTTATGCAATTATTTTTTGTAGTAATATTAACATTGTTAAGAATTGTTTATTGGAACTAAAATAGCACCACATCTTTTCGCGCTGCTGTTCAAAGTTAGAGGGCGCTTTGATACGAGAGATGAGTTTTGGTGCATGATTTTCATTTATTTTTCAAGTTATTAGGTACCTTTTACATATTTATTAAGGAGTCAACATAGGTTTGTATTAGGACCTGAAAAAATTCAGGTCCTATTTTGGTATTACTTTAACCTGATTCGTATTATTCTAGAAACACGTGGTGTGTGTTTTGATTATTCTAGATGTTTTGTATATCCGCTAATAGTTTTTTCGCTTGGACGAATTTACTCGTTCAATGTGGGTTAACAAAAGATGAATTGAATTTTGCAATAATTAGTAATAATTAGTTGATATATTAGGTTAGGATTTGGTAGATTAATACCTTAAAAATTCTGCGGGATATGCAGAACAAATAACCTTCTAAGTACTGTTTTATAATTTGTAGCGTGGATCCATCCACTCGGCATGTCGAACAAAAGAAATTACCATACTAGTTCTACGTACATGCATACAACTAGGTGCTACAATTAGAACAAAAGGTTTTGATCTTTAATTTTAAACCGATTATATTTTATGTCTATTATCTTATAACGTGGACATAGGTAGGCCTGCTCTAGCAAATAGTACGGTCTACCAGCCTAAGTAACAAATCTTTACTCTGTGACTATGACTTAGATTAAATAAATTTTGATAAGTCGCCGTATGACGAATGAATGACGAAACTAATTTAATTTCACTAGAATAAAATGTACCTACATCACCTACTTCAAGAATTTTTAATTCATGAAGTGTGTGTGTTTGTGTTTTCTTTCATCGTTCGATAAACCCCAGGAAAAGTATTGCCATGCTTCAGATGATAAAAATCTCACTCATTACGACATTACACTACGTTGACGTTGCCCAAATATAATGAAATACCTAGGTATTATTATTATCATCAGGATGAAGAACATGTGAATTTTTTACCTACAAAGAGAACGTATTTTACAACTTTCTTAATCTATACAAGGCTATTAGAACTACTACCATTATTACATATTACCATTTTTATTTTATTAGGGCAGACGTTTGTGCGATGAAAACGACCATTTGTACTCCAGCCATGGATGTTTAATATGTATTTCTATATAAAATAAAAATATACTTATATATATATGTATCAGTATATGTATTCTATTCGTTACCCTAGTATCCCATAAAACAAGCCTTACAGTGCTTACTTTGGGGCTAGGCTAATTGGTGTGAGTATTGGAAATATTTATTTATTTATTATTATAACCCTCTCCATAAAATAAATAATGATAGAGTCTGTGCGGAAAGAGAATGGGCGTGGCGAAAAAACGGAAGTAACATTAAGATTTTTATTTAGCAATCAAACCCAGCAGTCTGTAAAACGTCAAAATTTTGTATTGATACGGATTTCTTTGTTGTTGTGATTTCTTGCGGTTTTTTGTATTTAATCATATCTAAAAGGGGTAAAACTTTACAAATACGGTAGAAAAGTGTCTTAAACCAACAAATTAAAATTAAATGAACATGCAGTGACAAATGAATTACTTTGAGTACAGTATTTATTAACTTCTTAATTGAAAAGCAGCTAAAGAAAATATCTGGACTCTCAAAATCAATCATTTTATTCAAAATTGTTATTGCGATCAAATTGTGATTAAAGAACAAAGAAGTGACAGCGATAATGTAGCTATTAATAAACAAAATCTTCTTTCTGTTAAACATCACCTAAATTCATACATACCCACCATCTACATGAACTACTGGGATTAAAGGATACAATTTACAATATTTGTACTATACGCTGCTACTACTTTTTCTTATTTTTACACAGCATCTAGATTATTTTTCTACGCTGGTATCATTTTGTAAATCAATGATTCAACAAAAAAACTAAACGGAAACTGCTAGCGCTTACGGCGGCGAGTAGACAATATATTCACCGGAACCGGCAAGAACGTTCCAGTCAATTTTATTCAAAGCCAAAAATAAAGTTTTTCTTGAATATAAGTAGTATATATTTTGATTGGTATTTGCTCGAAAATAAAAGAGAAAAGCATTATCACTTCTTTTTAGCCAACTTTCATTCAGTAATGTATATTTTTCAAAGGTTTTTCTAGAGACATTGAGATTGTTCTAGAACATTTCGTACGTATTTCCAAACATACAGTAGCGCCCCCTGACGTGAAGTAGTGAATGACGTCAAAACGTGTAGGTTTCGCCAACCTTTTATTAAATTGATTTTTATACTATGGGATAAACAAGATGTAATAAAAAATAACATGTGTATTTTGCCTTTTCAGTGTAATAATAACAAAACTTGGTTGATTATAGTAAGCCAGAGAATATAATACAGACAGTAATTTACATCTCTTTGCTATTATGTAGTATCCAATCATGTTATGCTGGTTCCTGGCAATGCATATGGCACCAATCTGCAAATAAGAAATAACTTTGTTTAATATCAATACACATCACTTTATATATGTGTCGATTTCAGCATTATTCTCTAAACCGAAACTTAAATTTGACAAAGGTGTATCCTTGTCATTCTCTATACGGAATGAAAAGGAGAGACTGATGTTTTAAGTACAGAGATTCATGCTAGAATCCCTTTTTAATTTTATCTACAACTAGCGGGTGCCCGCAACTTCGTCTGCTTCTTTAAAATTTTCTATCACATTGAAAGTAGTGATCCGGTGATTGTGATTGAAACATTTTTTTCTAATCATGTTTCATTTAAATCAGTTAAGCAGTTTAAGCGTGAAGAGGTCACAGACAGACAGAGATACAGATAGACTCATTTTCGCATTTATATTATTACTACCAAATATCTAGAATCAACTATTATGTTAGCTTAAATAATTATATTATTTTTAACTTTCATATTTAAGTAGTGAGTGATCCAGAAAAATCAGTGACAGGAAAAGTCTATTCCACGTTAAATGAGGCATAGGCATGCAATTGAAACGCGACTTTCGTTTCATTAGAAATTACTTTATTTATTTTATTACTGAAACGGTCAATTGCGTTGTTTATTATTATTTTAGACCAATTGAAATTTTACATTGCATAAAGAAAAAATAAAATTGGTTGCCCTCTTCAGAATTACGTTATATTTATTGTAAATTTTTGCATCCGTTGTTTTTTAATTTATTCCTTATAAAAATACAAATCTTTCCACTTTATATTGTAAAAAATAATACTATGATATGCTTTTAATTATTTTTTTATTTCCTATTTTAAAATTATTTGAAGATGAATAATTAGTGCTTGAAAGTACTTACCTGAAATTAAATCATTTACAAAAGAACATTGTAGATCTGTAGTTGAATTTTAATGGTTGCAATGGTTTGTAACCTCTGACGAGTAGCGCGCCAACTCTAGAAATTTCTACTCGTTCACAGATGTCGCCCCTTGTCACACAGTATAAATACGAACTGACATTAGGAAGGGGCGATTATTTGAGAAATTGCAAAGAGACAAGACAGACAAGCTACGTTCGCTGTGATTTTCCCACACGTGTTCTATCAAACCACGCCATTTTATAAGTGAAGTTTTAATATTAAAGTGAATTAAAATCAACAAAATGCCGGAAGAGATGCAGACCCAATCCGGCGAGGTGGAAACCTTCGCCTTCCAGGCTGAGATCGCTCAGCTCATGTCGCTGATCATCAACACGTTCTACTCCAACAAAGAGATCTTCCTTCGTGAGGTAATTTCAAACGCTTCTGACGCCTTGGACAAGATCCGCTATGAATCACTCACCGATCCGTCAAAGCTGGACAGCGGCAAAGAATTATACATCAAGATCGTGCCCAACAAGAGCGAGGGCACGCTCACCATCATTGACACCGGTATCGGCATGACAAAGGCGGATCTTGTGAACAACCTGGGAACAATCGCAAAGTCTGGCACAAAGGCGTTCATGGAAGCGTTACAAGCCGGCGCGGACATCAGCATGATCGGTCAGTTTGGTGTTGGTTTCTATTCGTGCTACCTCGTGGCAGACCGCGTGACAGTGCACTCCAAGCACAACGACGATGAACAGTACATGTGGGAGTCTGCCGCGGGAGGTTCCTTCACCATCAGGCCAGACCAAGGCGAGCCACTGGGCCGCGGTACCAAGATCGTGCTTCACATCAAAGAAGACTTGTCAGAATATTTGGAAGAGCACAAGATCAAGGAGATTGTGAAGAAGCACTCTCAATTCATCGGTTACCCCATCAAACTTGTGGTAGAGAAAGAACGTGAAAAGGAACTGTCTGATGATGAAGCCGAGGAAGAGAAGAAGGAAGAGGACAAAGAGGATGAGAAGCCAAAGATAGAGGATGTCGGTGAAGACGATGAGGAAGACAAAAAGGACAAGAAGAAGAAGAAGACCATCAAGGAGAAATACACAGAGGACGAGGAGTTGAACAAGACCAAACCCATCTGGACGCGCAACGCTGACGACATCACCCAGGAGGAGTACGGTGAGTTCTACAAATCTCTCACCAATGACTGGGAAGACCACCTAGCAGTCAAACACTTCTCTGTTGAGGGCCAACTCGAGTTCCGTGCACTCCTCTTCGTACCCCGCAGAGCACCTTTTGATCTATTCGAAAACAAGAAGCGCAAGAACAACATCAAATTGTATGTGCGCAGAGTATTCATCATGGACAACTGTGAGGACCTCATCCCTGAGTACCTCAACTTCATCAAGGGTGTGGTTGACAGCGAGGACTTGCCACTGAACATTTCTCGTGAAATGCTCCAACAGAACAAAATTCTTAAAGTAATTAGGAAGAACTTAGTTAAGAAATGCTTAGAGCTCTTCGAAGAGTTGGCCGAGGACAAGGAGAACTACAAGAAATTCTATGAACAATTCAGCAAAAACTTGAAACTTGGCATTCACGAGGATTCTCAGAACAGGTCTAAGTTGGCAGACTTGCTGCGCTACCACACATCAGCATCTGGTGATGAGGCATGCTCCTTCAAAGAATATGTTTCACGTATGAAGGAGAACCAAAAACACATCTACTACATAACTGGTGAGAACCGTGACCAGGTAGCAAACTCTTCATTTGTAGAGCGAGTCAAGAAGCGTGGCTATGAAGTAGTATACATGACTGAGCCCATTGATGAGTATGTAGTTCAACAGATGAGGGAGTATGATGGTGCTACCCTTGTGTCAGTCACAAAAGAAGGCTTGGAGCTCCCCGAAGATGAGGAGGAGAAGAAGAAGCGTGAGGAAGACAAAGTCAAGTTCGAAGGCCTCTGCAAAGTCATGAAGAACATCCTAGACAACAAAGTTGAGAAAGTAGTTGTATCAAATCGTCTAGTTGAGTCTCCGTGTTGCATTGTTACTGCTCAGTATGGTTGGTCAGCGAACATGGAACGTATCATGAAGGCTCAAGCTCTCCGTGACACATCCACAATGGGCTACATGGCTGCCAAGAAACACTTGGAAATCAACCCGGACCACTCCATTGTTGAGACTTTGAGACAGAAAGCAGAGGCTGATAAGAATGACAAAGCTGTGAAGGATCTTGTCATCTTGTTGTATGAGACTGCTCTGCTGTCATCTGGATTCGCCCTTGATGAGCCACAGGTCCATGCTTCCCGGATCTACCGTATGATTAAGCTCGGTCTTGGCATTGATGAGGATGAGCCCATCCAGGTTGAGGAGACTAGTGCTGGAGACGTGCCACCACTAGAAGGAGATGCTGATGATGCATCACGCATGGAGGAAGTTGATTAAATCTCTCTACCGCCTATTCCATAGCTTACTCCCTTATGTTATGGTGTTAAGTTATAAGATTGTTTTGTGCACTGGTGTACAGCCAAAGACTGATTTAGTTCAAAAAATTCCATAAATTAAAATAAATGGTATACATTTAACAAATTATTTTGTGGTATAATTTTCTTTTACCTTATAATATAATAATCATAGATAAATGATTGGTCTTGCTTCAGTGAAGTGAGACCAATCATTCATCTATGATAATAATAATGATTTCATAAAGGAATTCAAAAAATTGTTTCAATATTATAAAGCTACTTCTCAGATTGCTACTTAGTTACAGATTATGCTATCATTATTTATTATGGTCCAAATGCAGCAATTTTGCTGATATTAATTATTTTAGCCAATGCAATGTCAAATTGACATTTAAATTAAAGTTAATTTTAATTGAATCTACTTTTTGCTGCAAATGAGTCTTCAGATCCTCAACTCAACCCTATTTGCGTTATAAACCACTGAGCAAAGCAATCTACCTATATTTTTAACTAAAAAAAAAATTGAACGCCAAGGTCACGGGACCCCACCAGGTTTCTAGAAATAATATGAATAGGATTTAATACAATGTTAATTTCCTATTATGATGACAAAGGCTAAATAATTTGCAGAACTATGAATTCAAGACACCTACAACTAAACCACAAAAAGACAGGCTTTTAGAAAATATTGAAATTATACTTCACAAAATTATTAGTAGTAGGTAGTATAGTAAGTAACCTTGCTTACTAAAATAAAATTGAAGAATCTAACTTGTTGTCTACCTTTCTATATCATAAGAAAGAAATGAGTTTTGGTTTTATAGAAATTGTGCATTTATGACATTTTAGGCGTTTTGCTTCTTAAACATTCTACAAATTAGGCTTTGTGATCATTATAGATAACAGTGGTGTCGATTCTAAACTTAGAATTAAATCTAACATCAGTCTCTCCTTTTCATTCTTTATGGAGAATGACAAGAGAACAGAATCGATACCAGTGTCGATTCTGGCGTGATTCTCTAAACCTAATCTTAATTTTGACAACAGTGTATCCTTGTCATTCTCCATACAGAATGAAAAGGAGAGACTGATGTTATTATTTTTGTTGAGTTTAGAGAATCATGCCATCGACACCGGTCTACTTATTTATACTTTCATAAAATTTCAAAAATAATACTAAGAAAGCGGTCCCGCTATATAAGAGAAATTATGAAAACCTCGTAGCGTGATCTTAAAACTGCACACACCTATTAGTAATACGGACCAGTACCCCTAGAAGGAACCAATATCGAATAGTTTGCGAGTACCAAATGTCATTGTCAAATGTGTACTGATTTTGAGTTCACGTTACGTCCGTTGTGGAGCTGCTGTACAAGTTTCCATACAAAAATTGACATTGACATTTCGCACTCGCAAACTATTCGAATTCGATAATAGCTCGTGCTAGGGATACAGGTTTGATTCATTGTTACACTACATAAAACTGCAATTTCATTAAAAAAAAATATTTTATGCAGTTAACATGCGCCTTACAAAAAAGTAATATTTTAAGCCAAGAATAATTTTTTTGCTCTTATAATTAATTTAGGCGTTTAGTTTGTTACAGTTTTATTTAGTAAGGTTATTCAAAAAATAATTGAAATACATAATAATAACTTTTAACGTTGTTAATTGTTGTCAATATTATTTCTCATTTATTAACAACGATTTGCAAAAGAAAAATACACTATTAAGTAAGTAGGTACCTATATAATCTTTTTCCGACTGAGGTAAGAAGTTGCACTTTATGAATAGGTAATATTACTAAGAGTAATAGAATATTTTTCTGATTGTTTAAATATTATTGATAACGGAAGTAATGCAGGTAATTCTATTCGGATTCGGAATTTTAGTATTAAGATTCAAAGATAAATTTTCAGTGTTCCGATTATTTTTAGTGCCAAACCAAAGCCTAAAAGACCGAAGCCGAACGCCTTGGTACCACCACCACTTTGTGCCAAAAAATGCTTACCTACATTACAATATTATTCTACCCGTTTAGTGCAGCTGTAGACGGGTAATTGTTTATTAAAAGTTTTAAGAAACAGCAAACTAAATAAGTCTAGAAGAGTACACAGTTAAATGGCGACTTAAATTTTCTTTATCTATATACTAATATTTGATAAAAGAGAGGAAAATTTTAAATCGTTCCAATTCTAAAAATGGCCGGTCCTGCAGCTTACTCTAGCCAATGCAAAAAAAATCGCTATATCCCGTTTAGTTCCAGAAAATTTCGTGAACAACTATAGAAATAAAAAAAGCATGTCATTAATGTTAATCACGATGTTTACAATATGCTAACGGGTTTCAGCCTTTGAATCAGCCTGTGAAAAGTCTCGAATGTACGGGGAAGGGAATTGGGTCAGGTCAGGGTCAAGTCATACCTTGACTTGACCCTGACCTGACCAAACCAGGCAGCGCGAGTGATATTTTTTGTCTTTAAATCAAAAAGCCTTTTTGATCGCAAGCCTCTACAGACTTAGTAGCCACTTACAATCAGCCGGGCAATATGGTTGTTTGGCACCCTTTAAACCAGAGGTTCCCATACTTTTTTGTGTCGTAGACCCTTTGCATGTTTTTAGGTTGTGGGTAGCCCCTACTTACCTGATATTGATTTTTTGTTAATTTCTATCTGGAGGGAAGTAAGTGTAACAGGATGATACTGGTTTATTATTATGTGCAGGTTTATACAACTTCAAAATGTATTGCGACCACAAAGCGAATGCCTATATCTTACAAAATTTTATAAACATACTAGTGGCCCGCCCTCGCTTCGCTCGGTGTAGAGCTGTAGGTGTAGACTATAGTTTTTGTTCTCAGGCTTGTATTATACACAATGACATTCTTCTAATACCTAATTACAATAGGCACACGCCGCCAAGTCCCCGGCCCGGTAGCGTCGGAACCGCTATGTCCCTGCATTTTAAATCTGTAATATCTTCGAAAATATTCATTTAAATTACATGCGTTAAAGGGCCGAATTGGTCTATATTAAATGCGCAATGCATTTAAGGTACTTAATTGGATAAGGATGAATGTTATATTGCAGAAAATCGCTTCGTAAATAATCTATTATTTCTCGTAAAAAGTATAGAATAAAAAATGGTTATTGTGGGTTACCCCTAAGAGATAGATATATACCATCGCGGACTTTTTTGTAGACCTTTTTAAGGTGTACAATACTGTAGTACATTATTTTGATCTATCTCGTAGAGTTCAGCCAGCGTTCGCAATGTAAGCGCAAAAAACTGTGTTTATTTACGACCTTACATTAAAAACCCCTAAAATTATCAGTGTTTCTCTACAATATTATGCATGTATTATACATATAAACCTTCCTCTTGAATCACTCTATCTATTAAAAAACCGCATCAAAATCCGTTGCGTAGTTTCAAAGATTTAAGCATACAAAGGGACATAGGGACAGAGAAAGCGACTTTGTTTTATACTATGTAGTGATATATAATATTTTTTATTATTTCATAGGTACTTTTATAAATAATGTATATGCCTTTTTAATAGAAGATAGCATAATGTAAGTAAATAAGTACTATCAGTGTATGTTGAAATCCATTATCGTGGACCCCCATTTTCATTTCATGGACCCCCAAATTTTTTTTTCGCTGACGTAGACCCCTGGCAGTTTGTCATAGACCCCTAGGGGTCGATATAGACTACTTTAGGAATCACTGCTTTAAACGAAAAAAGCAGTGCCGTCTAAGGACGACCGATGACCGAAAGAAACTGGTTTAAAAATAAAAACGCGTGGTTGAAAGGTGGTAAAAATTATGGTAACTTGGTCAAAGTAGGAAGGCTGGTTTTTACTAAGGTTATATAATGGTATTGTTTTAAACAAACAATTTTCTATCAAGAAACTTTCCGTTTGCCATTTTCGCCAGACACTTCATGAGTGTGCAACAAATACTTACCCATATTCTATATCTCTTCTTCTTAATTGGCCGATTGTTATTTTTATTTCTTTTTTACAAAACAAGAAGAAGCATAAAAAAAAGTTATGCTTCTTGTAAATCAAGCGAAGAAAACATAGGAATTTAAAGGAAAACAGATAATAGTCATTGTATTTATATTTTTCGCATTTAACTGTTACCTACATGTTTAAATGTAAAGAAAATTTTACAGGATAAAATCTACTCAGTCCAATTTATCGACGGATTTTTGAAGTAAAACTTCTTTAAGCACGCTTAACTTGGGTGGTAAACTGGCGAATATGATACGGATACGCGTTACGTTTGGTGTCATCGGTAAACAACTTAGAGCATATACCATATACCATCCTATGATATATGCTCTAAGGTAAATAATGAACAATACCCGTCGGCCGTCACAAAATACATGAATCTAGTGCTAACTTACATGTTTACTTGATGTTAACTATTGAAATATGTTTTTTAATTAATCACACGACGTAATTTATCAATAATCAATAACAATTTAGTACTTTACTATTAATTAATATAAAATAATTCTACACCATTGAAATCCGCCGTATGTTATTTTTTTTCTATCACCAAATCTTCAGGTTAAGTTTATGATCTTCAGATCATTGGAGCTAAAGAAGTTTCACTTCAGTCGTGTGGTCATAAACACGCACGCTTATTTTTCTAAATTTTCTTTAAATTGTAAATACCTAGGCCTATTTTATAGTTACGTTTTTATAATCCAGTAAACAGGAATTAAAAAAGTTTTCCTAGAAAAAAAAAACACTGGGCCCAGTCACCAGACAGGCACTACAGTACCTTCCTCTATCAGATTACGGTCCAGACATCTTCAGACAGGGTTCGAACCTGCACATTCTGCTATCCGGTCCAGGCGTTAATTAAAAAAAATGTGATAAAGTAGGCAGTTATCATCATTTTTCATGACACGCTTCTCGTGAAATATTCCCAGTACATAAACATTTTTTGTCACCATGCGGATCGTCCATGACGTGCGAATCAACCTACGTCATCATGTCACATTCCATCGAAACCATTCGCATTCAGAAATCACGTGAAGGTTCTAGATTTGTTCCCCGACCTAGATTCGTCGCAACATTACCATGCCAGCGATCGATTGATGAACGGCAT